CTTTGATTATTTTTTTCCTGATATTTATTCATTAAATATCATTTAACATAGTTTTATCTTTCAAAACAATTCTGTTTCATCACAATTAAATATATCTTCAGAACTATAATCTTTTAATATTTGCTGGAGATTCTCTTTTATTGTTTTAAAATCTTTAAGCAATGCACTTACAGCTTTCCTGTATATATGGTACTGTTTAAGGTTGTGTCATTTTTTAAAGTTATCCACTCAATCACTAGATCTTTTAAACTTATTCTCCTTTAATAAAAAAGTAAAACTTAAGGCTTTTGTTAAAAGAATATTATCAGTAATAATGAAACTAGCTTTGAGTACGTTATCTACTCATATTATTAATGCTTCTTTAATGAGAGGAAATAGAGTTTTCTTATCATATTTCAAATTAGCTTAGTATAAATTAGTATCTATAGAAAGCCAATGGTCTTTTTCCTTTAAAATAGCACTTACCATGCCTTTATTAACATCATATTTATTAGTCAAATCTTTTTATTTTAGAAAAGATGATAATATTTTTTCTTTTTTTTGTATAGCTGTAAAAGACTTTCATTTTTTTTAAAGGTTTATCTTATTTATTAGTAAGTTGATTAAGTTATTTTTTTGAGTTTATTTTTAACATTATAAGCATTATATAAAAAAAATGCATAAAAAATAAAATATGTAAAAAAAAATATAAAATACAAGATATAATATGTAAATCAAATATTTATTCATTTTTTAATTTTATTAAAAAACTAGGTATAGAAAACTACAAAATTTTATATACATAAATCTAATAAAATTCATTTTAAGCAAAACTTCATTGTATTAAAAAAAATTTGTTATAGAGACAATTTGTTATAAAAAGAATCATTTTATATATAAATTTTTCTGATTTTAATTCGTTAAATATAGTACTAATTTTTAATTACTAAATTTAGTATAGTAAGAGTTTTAAAAATCTGTTGAACACTGAAAACTATTGTATTGTAAAAATTCATTATATCAAAATTCGTTATAAAAAAAGTTAACTGTAAATCTAATACTTTAAGAACAATTTATTATAATAAATCTATATATAATTGTAATATTCAGTGTATTTTTTACTGTATCTTAATATATTTTTATATAATTCAATTTACAATAATATTTAAATTAAAATATATGAATAATAAAAGAATCATTCTTATAAATTTATCATCATATATTTTTTTCAATTTCAGTTTTTATAATTAATTTTAGATAAATTTAATCTGAGATATTAAAATTCTAATCTAAGATTCTTAAAACATAGTTATAATTTATTATTTTATGGATTAAATTTTTAATTTTGTATATAATAAAATTTTTTTTTGCATTTTAAATTTATCCTATTTTGACTATAGTAAAATTTTTATATTATTAATAATATAACTTTACGATAATTTAATTAATTATAAACAGATTATTTATATTGAACTTAAAAATAAATATTAGATAAAAAATATAAAATTACATCAGAAATATTTTTATTGTGAAGTATTATATAAGATTTATAATTTATAAATTTACACAAATTTTGTAGCATAATATTACACAATATTTATAATTTTAGTATAGTACTTCATATTATTTACTAATTATAATATTGCAAAAAGCTATGAAGGTAATACTTTATATTATTTATTAATTATAATATTTGTGAAAAGTTACGGAGGATAGTACTTCGCATTATTTACTAATTGTAATATTTGGATTATAGATCAGCAAAAAGGACTTCTGAGAAATATCTCACTTTTTAGAAAATGAAAATTAAAAATTTGATTATCATAAAATTACATCATTATTTATAGTTTATTTTTAAAAAAAAATGCAATGTGAAAATTAAATTATATTTCATTTAGTACAACTTTATTTAATTTTAATTATTAAAATATATATTATTCTAATTTTAGATTACTGATCTTTTTTTTAAAAAAACTTTTTATTTGAATATTTTGGTAATTTATTATACTTGTATAATTAAAAAAGTATATTATTATATAATTAAGCATATTTAGTTTATATAAATTGAAAAAAAAATTTATGGAAGGTCTCAAAGGTTCTTTTTGCTAGTCTATGACCCATTTGCGAAAAGCTACAGAAGTAGTACTTCACATTATTTACTAATTGTAATATTTATAAAAAGCTATAAAGGTAGTACTTTACATTATTTACTAATTGTAATATTTGCGAAAAGTTATAGGGATAGTATTTCATATTATTTACTAATTATAATATTTGCAAAAAATTACAAGGGTAGGACTTCACATTATTTACTAATTGTAATATTTGCAAAAAACTATAAAGGTAGTTCTTCACACTATTTACTAATTATAATATTTGTAAAAAACTACAAGGGTGAATTTTGTTACATAATGTAAGTTAATGATCAATTACAGTTGTATAATTAATATCACTAATAATCATTTTTTTTAACCACTATATCTTTTTTTCTTTCTTTTTTTTAGCTTTATTTTATTTAATATAATCTTTAAAAAAATTTTTATTTTTTAAACTTAAATATTAATACAAAGATTTTATAGTAAAATTAAACACTTTATAATATAAAAAATTTGTTTGAAAACTAGTATTAGAAATTTTTTTTCAAATTTAGAATTTTGAAATTTTTTAAAATAATTATAGAATTTTTACATTAATGTTAATATATATATACTGCACTTCTTAAAATATTAAATCAATAAAGCACACTTTTTTGAATAAGTAAAACATTTTACATCAGCAATTCTTGATAACACTTTTTTTAGAAAATTAAATAATTTGGTTAAAAAATGTAAAGTTGTGAATTGTCGTGATGAAGTTTGAATATGAATATCTCAATATCTACTAATTCTGTTTCTATTAATTTGATTTGCAAATGCAATAGATTTTGATCTTTTAAATAAGACTAAAACCATCCCGATCTAATTACTAGAACCAAAGATATTTGAGAAAATCTAAAAACAATTATTTTGAAATTTATCATAGAAGAATCTCAAGCAAGTGTGAATACCATAACTGAAGCAAAAGAAACAGTCCAAAAAATAATGATGCCAAATACTAACTTTACCATCTAGAAATCTAAAAAAAGTAAGAAAACTATGTTAGAAAATAAAATAACTTTGAGAGTTGGTAAAAAAAAACAAAAAAATAATTTATTGTAAATAAAGTTTGAACATGAATATCACAATATCTACCAATCCAGTTTCTATCAAATTTAATATATAAATTCAGTAGGTTTAAATCTTTTAAATAAGATTAAAATTATTCTGATCTAATTACTTTTTTTTAAGATGTGATAATACTTTTATTTATTAAGTATAATTATAATCAGTAAAAAATTTTATATGAAACTTCTCAAAGAGATACAGATATAGAAAAATAAAAAAAGTTATCTAATAAGAATAAAAAGTCCTAAAATTCTATTATGCTAGACCAACTAGTTATTCCGTCAAGTTTTAGTAATAATCACTAGTAGAATTACTATTGCTACCTAATTATAGAATTAAATATATAATAATTAGTTATTATTGCATTAGTAAGAGAGGCCAACGATAATCATGTATATAAGAGTTTTAATTAAAGAAATGTAATCATGCTGAAAATATATTGAAGAAAAGAAGGTGTTATTAAAACTATTCTTAGAAAATTGTATTGACAAAGCAAATGGAATGTGCTTTTTACTAAATTGTGAAATATGAAAAGATTGTTCTTTGATAACAGTAAGATTATATCTAGATTTCCATATAAGAGCATAAGTTTAATCAAATAAAAATTTATAAAAGGAAGAGAGAATAGTGAAAGTAATAGAAGATAAATTGGTAAAAGTATCAAGTAATTTGGGAAAGAAAGAAGAAATAATGCCTTTAATAAAAGGTAATGTTATAGGGATCTGTCTTGATAGCCCAATAAAGGTGAGATAGTAATAAGAAAATTGTGACTTCTGGTAGAAAACCTGAACATAAAATATATATGAAAAGTTGTTTTTTTTAGATATGATAAGAGTTTAATGATTATATTGCCAATGATGGATCTGACAATAGGACAAAGTCAAATATAATTAAAAGATTTGTTTGATGTATTACAATAATAGCAAGTTCAAGAGCTATTATAAAGAGAAGATTGTGTAATTTTAAGAAATTCAATAGTTAGAAGTTGTTTAAGTAAAGATTTGATTCTTCTATAATATGCACGGGATTCTTCAAAGAAAGTAGTGAAGGAAAATCCAGTTTGAGAAGTTAAAAGGTAAGTTTATAATTGATTTTAAGATTAGTATGTTTTTGTTTCTTTTAAGTGAATAGTAAGCCATAAAGTGCTTTATTTGTAAGAAGTCTTTGATTAATGACTGAAAGGCAATAAAGATAAGCATTTTTCAAAAAAGAGAATGTATTGAAAATAAGAAATGTGGTTGAATGTAATTGAAATAGAAGGAGAGTGTAAAAAAGATTTAGTTAATTAATCAACTTTATTATTATATGAATCATCAGAATGTGATTTGATTTTAGTAAGGGTAAGCAATATACTCTTTTCTTCAATGATCTTGAAAATAATAGATCAGTAAATATTAAAGAGAAGTTTGAGCATTAATAAAGGGTACAAAAAAGCATTTTATCATTAGATTTTGTTATAGAAATAAATAAAAGCTAAACTATCAGTATAAACAGTTAATTCTAAATTATGTAAATAAGTAATAAAAACTAGTAATAAAGCAAAGATTTCAGCGTTAGTTAAATTAAATCAAAAATAAGGAAGAGTTATAGAGAAATCTATATCTATATTATTATGAACTAAGAGAAAAGTAAAGCTCATAAAGGTAACAGGACAGTATAGTCTGATAAAAATCTGTGTGAATTATCTGTATAAAATAAAAAAGATTTTTCATTTTTTAGTTTATTTTAAATGAATTTAATAAGAAAACTGTAGTAAAGAAATTAATAAAGGATTCTATAGTAAAGTAAGAAGAACTAGTTAAATGTAAACTATTAGAGCTAGTTAGAGTAGGACACACTCTTATATAATGTTAAACTATTTTGATTTAGAATGACTTTAATATTTTTCTTTAAGACTTTTTGCTACCATGCCAAGATCAAAGAAAGAGAACAATAAAAACCAATAAAAACAATAACCTCGCTCTCGCCCTGATACTCCAGAGCAACAACCAAAGAAGAAACAAAACACTTTACAAACTGTTGAACCCGAAAGCAGCATGTCCAACAACAGCAACGACGAAATTCTACTTATAGACGTCGACCCTCTTCCGCTCAATAAAGGAAAGGGCAAAAAAGTTTTACAAAGTGAAATAACTATAGTTATCACTGCAGAACAAAGTGAAATGAACATCGATAACGCCAACGACGCCTCTGAAAATTTCTTGAACAAAAAAACAAGCCCTCAAGATATTTCCACAAAAAAGACAAAGTTTTTCGCTTTCTTCCCAATAGACGACTACCCAGAAAAATCCCCCCAAACAAAAGTATCTAACGTCACGGACCTCGTGTTTGACAGATTCAATTCATTTTCAGGTGTCGCCCTAGCCAAACACTTTGAAGACCAATCAAAAAGTATACTTAAGGTGACATTTTCTGACAAAGAAGAAAGTGACGCGTTCTATAAGATTAATTTACCCAATTTAGAAAATCGCACGTTTTTGCCTCTCGACATCACACTAAAATATCCGTTTGTGCCACAACAATCAATTAAAGTTACAGAAATACCATTGGATGCGACGGAAGTAAGAATTAAGAAAATCTTTTTCCGATTTGGAAAGATCGTTAGGTTTACCATAAAAATAAAGAACTTATGGCAACAAGTCACAATTACTTACGACAACGATGCCACCTTCACAGAACTTCGAAAGGGTCATGGTGTCTTCATCCTCAATAATATGGTGCGCTTCCATATGTGTGACCTATCAAGGGATCAAATACTAGAACAATCAAAGTTTTCGGCTAAGCTCACGTGTCTCTCACGTTACACTACAGGTAAAAATTTATCTGAACTCAGATTAATGATCAACGCGACAACATGGATTATCCCTAAAGCCAGATCCAACTACAACAACCTACAACACGCTTTCTTCTACTTCGCATCGGCAGATAACCACAAAGCGGCAATCAATAATAATAACCTTACGATCAATAGTAAACACGTGGAATAGACAAGTAATAAAATGAAACTATGCGCTATTTGTTCCTCCCCTCATCACAAAATAAAAGATTGCAATAAAAAACGAAGAACACCCAATGATAGAAATACACAAAATCTGTATCAACGTTTCCAGCCCGCCTAATACAATGACTATAAGGCTCTGTCTCACTCTAGACGAGGAGTGGTCAACCCGAATGTGACTTTCGCTGGAGTCATCAAAGGAAGACAGGAAGAAAAACCTACACTCACAAAACCAAAATTTGGTATTTCCAACAATGAAGATGGATCATTTGCGTTAAGAGGTCTGAATAATACACTACTTCCCTCCTAAGCTGACGACGTTCCACCTGATATGGATGTTATAGACAATATGCTTACTCCAAGACAATCACGTAACATAGCTACTGGCACAAAAACTGGAGGTTCTATGCATGAGAAATCTAATGAAGAGGCAGATTTCAAAGCATTTATCAAGGAAAGCTTCTCTCACCTAACTCAAAAACTAGAAGATTTTACGATCGCCATAGGTTCTGTTATGAAAAGAATGGACACCATAGAAAATACCCTCAATATTAAGGTCATAGCTCCAGATGAAAACATGGACGACTCAGATATGGTGTATGGTTATGACACCCTGTCTATTGATACATCTAATTCAGTTATCAACAAACAAAGACACACTATTGAGGCCCTCAAAGAGCTAAATGATGCCCAAAATCTATGGCTAAAGCATTTCACAGAAACGGTTAATAATTTGGTAAACTCGTGTAATGCCTTCCGTATGATCCTTGCCCAAAACAATCTATTACCAACAGGAAAAACAGCAGAAATATTGACCCTTAACACTAACTACGACATAACTGCAGACAAGGCTCTAAAGAGCCTTCCTCAATTTTAAATTAAATAATAATGATTACTGTCCCTACAGATACTAATAATGCTTCAACATCCTCAATGATTGACAATTCCACCCTTCCAATTAATATTCCAAATCTTACCATCGTTACCCACAATGTCAGATCATTCACAAATCCCGCTAAACAACATTTCCTCCTTTCCCTTTATTCTGCACATGACATAGATATTATTGGCCTTCAAAAAACTAACTTTAAACAAATATATGCAAAGAACTTCAACCCAACTCATTCTTCTCACATCTCATTTTTCAGTTCAATACCAAGACAGAGAACGGCCTTTGGAGTTGAACTCATACTAAAGAAAAACATCGCCTATCATATTTTTAAACATGATACAAAGCTAGACAGATTGATTTACGTAGATTTGCAATTCGCCAATAAACAAAAACTACGTGTCATTAATTGTTATTTACTACCTGCAGATTTAAAAACAAGACAGGAAATCCAAAATATACTTACCAAATGGATTAAAGAAGCCTCATCCCTTGATTATCATGTGACCATTCTAGGAGATTTCAATGCTGATATAGATCGACAACACAACCCAATAAACACACTTAAATATTTTGACACGTTGCTTAGAATGTCTATGTTTGATGCCTTCATTCTCAAACATGACTGTGCAAGAACCAATTTCCCTTCGTATACTAATAGTCAAAGTACGTCAAGAATTGACTACATATGGATATCAACTGAACTCTCTGTCAATATACTGGATTGTTATACTATTCCAATAGCTTCAAATATATCAAACCACCTACCAGTCGTAATAAAGTGTGCTAACTTCTTAGACATTAAATTCAACAGACAAAAAATAAAGGCGAAACTTAGTTTTAACTTCAACAAAATGGATGATCATAAATGGTGCAAATTTGGAACCAAATTTGATGCACTCCTAAACGGCTGCTTACTGAAAACTATAAATATCAACACTTTTTGGACACAAACATTATTCAACAAATAGTGGGATCAATTTCAGAACCTACTGATTAAAGCTGCTGAATCAACCATTCCCATCTGAAAATCAACAGGACAATTTAAATATCCACAACTCCCTAGATTGTCCAAACTATATGTACAACTTAAAGAACTTTACAAATTCAATAAGTTATTACGATCAATAAAAAATGGGGCAATTTTTCCGATTTCTTGGTCTCGTTCTTACGATGTCTACATTAATATCGCACACTCACTGAATTTCGTTACCGCTCACCCTACCCCAGACTATCCATTCAGTTTCATTGACCTTTTGCTCTCTGATACTAATTTATTAATTAATGTAGTTCATTGTAAAATCAAACTTCACGAGAAGAAATACAAACTTCAAGCAATTTAACAAGCACTTAACCAACGACTTGAAAACTACGCTATACAACCCGATAAAATGTTAGATTCTACCCTAAATCGATCAAGAAGAACCATAATACTTAACCGCTGTCTATCAAGAAATTCCAAAGATTTGCTTACGGACGAAAGTAAAGTTAAACACAATGTAAATGAACATTTTCAGAAGGCGGCGGGCACCACACACAAAAACAAAGAGATATCAGAGGAATGGCGCTCGATTTATAATCCGATTTCTAATATCAATCCTAATATATATAGGTCCTTAATGTTACCCCCCACAGCAGATGAATGGTACAATATTATAAATTCCTTAGCTGATGGTAAAGCACCAGGTCCCTCAAAGATCCACAATGAAATATTAAAGCACCTCAGCCCATTTGCCAAGAAACTGTTTTGGCACATTATTTGTGGTTGTTTAAAAATCTCGTCGCTACTGAGTAGGTGGAAATTAGCATATATATACCTAATCCCCAAACTGAAACCATGGGAATATGACCTAAATAACACTTGGCCTATCACGCTCCTGGAATGCCTAAAGAAAGCTTTAATCAAACTGATCAACAGACGTCTTTCAACAATCTTTGTTCAACATAGTATATTAAAAGGACACAACTTCGCAGGTCTACCATTTTGTTCAACCTTCGAACCATTACATATTTTCGATAACATTAAACATGATGCTCTTACCCCTCTTACAATATATATCCAAAGCCTATGATCGAGTTAATGTATTTATGTTAGTCAGAACCTTGGAAAGACTCAAGCTACCCAAAGAATTTATATTCTTCATTCTCAACATGTTTGTTTCTCGAGAAAATCAAGTTTTTACAGCCTTTGGTAATACAGACACATATAAAGTATTCTCAGGTATCGACTAAGGAGAAATCATTTTGCCACTCTTATGGTGTATATATTACGATCCACTCCTATGTAAGGTACAATCATCAGATGTAGGATATTACATGTCAGTCAAGTGGAAACCTGATGTACGTTTTGAATCTTATAACAACCTCCAGTGTAAAATATCAGTCTTGGCATATATGGACGATACACTTTGGATTGCTCGATCAAAGGAAAACCTAAGTAACATAATAGACATAGCAAACAGCTTCTATGAATTGAACAGTATACAAGTTAACTGGGAAAAATCTGACCTTTTGACAAACTTGCCAGACACTCAGACACTTACCACTAATGTGCGCGATCACGATCACATAATAACCTCAGTCAAACCAAAAAACTCAGTGTGATACCTTGGAGTGTGAATCTCGCTGAGATGCAATAAGACGTTCACAGTCAATCAAGCTGTACAAGATGTAAAAGCCACTATAGCATTATTAACTAACAAAAAACTCACAGACAAACAACTCATTTATACGTACAATGTAGTCATCATCCCACGAGTTGAATATCGTACGCAGCTTATACACCTTTCTGAATACGTTTCAGATCACATTGTTAGACCTTTTAGATCCTTTCTCAAGAAAAAGCTCCACCTTCCAAGAGACACCCCATCATGTTTGTTTTACTCTAAACTTTTTACGGTATCAATCATTTACACTATAAACACACACAGGCTCTCAGTGATGCACTTCTATATGCGGTAAATGACAAGGGTCTATTAGGCCGAACTACCCACATACGACTCCAGCAAATACAAATACAAGAATGGCTACCGTTGTCCCCTTTAAGAGAATGGCCCTTCAACAACCCAAAATACTTCAAAGATTGGATACCGGGCCTCTTATGTGACTTAAAAAAACTCGATATAAAGATAGTTCCACCCGTTCATATTCAAAGGCGTATATTAGGTGGTTCTACCTCGATACAGTCTATCATACCAAACAGCTACAGGAAATTTTCATCTGTTCTAGCTAAAACATCCATTTTATTTGTGGAGCAACTCTTAACAAAAGACTGCAAATACAT